ATATTATTAGTACGGTAAAATAAATTTAATTGAAATTAAAATGTAATTTATATTATTAAATTAAATATAATAAAATTGTAATAATAATAATAATAATAATTATTATTATTATTATAATTATTAAGATTATTATTATTATTAGAAGTATGTAATTTATATTAATATTATTATTATTAATATTAATAAAATAATAATATTATTATTATAATAATGATTATTATTATAATTTTTATTATATTTAATTTAATAATACATTTTAAATTACATTATAGATTAATTTAATAATATAATTTAATAATATAAATTACATTATAAATTAAATAAAACGTAAAGACATTTAAATGTAACTTAATATGCATGTGCCAAAGACGTAAAAGACCTTGTTGGTGATGATATCAAGACCCTTATAAACTTAGATTTTGTCAGAGTTAATGATTTCAAAGGGAATTTGAAGGCTTTCAAACTGCATAAAGAGAAAAGGAAAAAAAGATGTCTTACAATTATGAAAATCATTAATATAGAAAGAGTAAAAGCTGAAAGTTGGAAAAAACAACAGAACAGATGAGTGAGAAGAAAAATATCAGATTTTATAGCCATGTTAGCGCGAAGTTAACTCCATTCACAACCATTTAACGGGAGGGACTTAATTGATTAAATTTTTATAACTTTAGGACTCAATGCATGTATTTTTAAAACAGGGTATTAAACTGAAAAAAGTCACTTAATATAGGGAGCAAGTAAACTATTAAACCTAGAACAACTTATTACCATACAACCCCTTTTAACCTTAGTTTATCATGTGCTAAAAAAATCTATTAACTTAATTGGAAATAGGTTATTTTCACTTAAAGAATTCAAAAGTCATCCATCTATAATTTTCGCTACTTCAAGCACTCATTATAGTTATATGATACTCTTATTATTGTCATTTTAAGCAACAAGTTTTGTATCTTGAAAATTTTTTAATTAATGGCCTGAAACATCTTTGTCAATTTAGAAGTAAAACACTTGATTTGTTTAAGCTTCTAAGAAATGTATTGCATATTACAAATCATCTTTACAAGTAAGTTATCGATAATATCATTTGCATCTTACAAACGTTAAAAAGTTTTAGTTGCATTTTATAAGCAACAATTAGAAATTTTACGAACAATGATCGAAAATTTTACTCACATAACGTCACACTTAAATATATTTCCTTTATTTTTAAATTCCTTACATAACAAAATTCAAGTTAACTGTTCAAAAATAAACTTGATAACTAGATAAAAGGTGGTATGGATTTTTTTCTTTTTCTAAAATTTGACAACGAGATAATGTTAGATGGAAGATATTTTGGCATTTCCCGAGAGCAAATAAATGGAGTTTTGTTGTTTGCGTGTGTTAAAAGACGAAATGAATCATCAAAGGAAGTATGGCTGGAGAGACAGAGTTCTGAGTATAGCATTTATGGTAGATGAACGATACGATGATGCTGATAAATGCAAACATGCACAATGCGAAGCCGCACACCTAATTGCTACTCCTATAAATGTACCATAGTGTGACCCAAAACCCAACTGGGCCTCCCTTGCCCATCATGTGTTCCAAAATCCCACTCTATGTTATATTGTGGGCCAGGCCCTTCACTTTTCACGCAATCCACGCATGCATTGCAATTGCAAATTCATCTTTCTTTCTCATAACCACTATTACTATAAACATTACTTTTAACTATCAGTTCTTCAAGCTGGTTTTTACTTTTATCAATAAAATATTTCATTTATTATAAAAGTAATTAAACTAAAATTTTATGGAGGAATTTTTATTTTTTTAAAGAAAAATAAAAAGTTAAAAATTTGGAAGGTAAACCTTACAGGACCGCGATGTCTCGAGGGGAGTAAAAATATAATTTTGTGCAGAAACAAAATAATTAAAAAAGTGAAGATTATCTACAATTTTCTTATATCCCTTTATGCTTTTTCATGCGGTTAATGGCAGAGCCATAAAAAAGTATTCAAGCATCGGCCACTTGCTCCTCTGTTTCTGTCAGAAAAACAACAACAACTGCACCTGGTCGGTTTCCTTATTCAAAGGCCAAACCGCATTTCCATGTTCGCTTTCTTTCAAACACTCAAATTTTTCTTTCATTTCATACCACTACGTGCTTATCACCAAGATTATACATATTAATTAAAAACATGTATAATTTTTCGAAATATAACTTTATTCAGTTATCCTAACGATACCGTCTGATCTTATATTATTCTCGTTTGCAAGCCTCAGTTCGGCCAAAACAGAAAATGAAAACGGAAAAGAAGCTCAACAGTGCGTTTGGTAGGGCTTTTTTCTTTCTTTTCATTGCTTTTAGCATCGGAAGAGAAAAAAAAGAAAGTGAGAGTTTACTTTCAGAGTTGACAGGATGCAATGTAGAAAAACGTTAAAAAATTCAAATAATATAAATTTTTTTATATGTGAATTGTACTCGTGTCTAACTATCTATGAGGTGATTCTTCTTGGAAAAATAGATTTATATATTTAAATTAAGTTGAGATTTGTAATCCTAAGCTGCAGAAATTAAGCAAGAAAATAGGAGGTAGCAAATTATTCTGGTAAGAAAGTGGTTTTGCAGGGTTTGAATATCCGGTGAAGTGTGTAGGTGACGGCATTAATTTCACTGAAGCAAACACTACAATAAACAGTAGAAAGATTTCTGAGCACATGTACTATACGTTCTATTGTACTGTTTATGTTAGGTGTCGGCGTTACTTGCCAAATTCATTTCAACATTTAAAGTTAAAAAAAACAATACGAAAGCTTAAATAAAATGTTCATGAGGATTCTTATTTCACTATTCTAAAATGTCACGTACATTTAACAATTAAAACAAACATACACAGAATATAAAGTTTCAAAACTATTTTTTTTTAGTAAAAGAAGTTTTTTAAATATAGATGTGGAGTGATTTATTAAATCGTAATTATATATATATATATATATATATATATAGTGTTTATATTAATATAATCTATTATTCGTTAATGATTTTAGTTTATTAAATTATTATGAAGTTACAAAATAATAATATTTAGTTATGTAGTGTTTCTATAATAAATGTTAAGACATTCCAAATATTTTGTTATATTTAATTAATTTTTTGTTGTTGATAAAAATAAAATTCTCAATAAATACATTTAATACTAATGTAAATACATTCTTATAATATTTGATACAAGAAATAGTAGAATTTTAATTAAANTGATTTTAGTTTATTAAATTATTATGAAGTTACAAAATAATAATATTTAGTTATGTAGTGTTTCTATAATAAATGTTAAGACATTCCAAATATTTTGTTATATTTAATTAATTTTTTGTTGTTGATAAAAATAAAAATCTCAATAAATACATTTAATACTAATGTAAATACATTCTTATAATATTTGATACAAGAAATAGTAGAATTTTAATTAAAATGACAAGTATAAAGGAGAGATATTCTCTCATCTCTTCTTTTATACATTTTCTTTCAGTGTCTTAATAAAATCTTCATTAAACAAGCTTTAAAATATACTTAAAAACATATAAAAAGTTGTTTGTGGAGTTGGAAATCAAACACGATTTTCATGGTGTTTTTGACGAAGATATGACTTCATGAAAGAACATTGATAAAAGAAAAAAAAAAGGATATTAGTTGAAATGAAAAATTATCACAATTTAATAAAAAAAACGTAATGCTCAGTGTAATTGAATATTGAATATTTTGTTTAAGAAAAAATAGGTTGAAACTAATTGAAACTTATATGCACTTAATAAAATGAATCCTTATACTTACAAATTTCATACCAACATCACACATTTGGTTGTTTGTGAATTTGAATGGTTTAGAGTTTTATTAACCACATTAGTCCAATATTATCCATTTTAACACATTTTAAATTTATTTAATTAATCTGAAGTCTAAATCTGACTGAAGTTCGCTGTTAAAAATATAGTGATAATATCTTAGTTTCAAGTTTTATTATTTTTTAATTAGATGTAACTAAAGAGCATTTTTATTAGTATTTTAAAAAGTAACAAAATAGTTATATACTACTTTGTATGGTATCTTTCACGTTCAAACATCTTTTTTTCTTATTAGTGAATTTCTCCTATTTTTTTAGTCACTTTCTGATAAATACCATTGGTTAGACAAAATTTAAAGAGTGGAGGTAAATTTGATGGCTTGCACTATACAATTTTTTTAACGTATATCAGAAAGATAATAGTAAGCATTGTTTTCAAAAACGAAATTTCGTAAAATTATTTTGCACACTTTTATATAAACATTTATTAATGGATGGTAAATTAATTACCTTAGAACAATAATCTTCAACAAAAAAAAATGACGGAATAACCTTCAAAATTAGTAGTTATGAACATTATTCATTCTATCTACGCCATTTTTTTTAGTTATACTTATTTACACACTTTAATAGAGTTATCAGTAGATGATACATTACTGAATTAGAAAAATAATCATTCACTAAAATGTGATATGAATTGCATATTTGCTTACTAAAAATGTTATTTTCAAAATACTTTATCAGCGTTGAAGATTTCTTTCATATTTATTGCAAATTAAAAATAAATATTCATGATTTTTCACCACAGTCTATGTATATAAATTTTAACATAACACAAATAAATTCTCTTAACATTCTACTTAATAACATGACATATTCCGATATTATAGTTTGCTTATTTTAAATTATATGTAATCTTATGTTTCATGTTATTTAAAATTGTATAATCTATTACATGGTATAAAGTGTTAAATTCTTTTGAGGTCAATTGTAAATAAAGAATGATATCAAAATTAACCATTCTAGAGAGGTAAAGACAAAATTAAACGGTGTAGACCAGTAGATGGATGCATGAACAATGGCGGTTTGTTTTAACGTGCAAACTCGTGTACCAAGAAGGTAAATAACACCATTTGCTGCTAAAAATAAATAAATAAAACAAAACGACTAACTTACGAGACAGAAGAATTTTATATATATTACAAGACACAGAACAGAGGTGGCTCCGTGGGACGCACGGTTTTACGACCAGTGTTAATAAACATATGCTGGAATAGAAAATAAGAAAATAAGAAAATAAGAAAATAAGAAAATAGAAAATTTCTCTCCTTACAAAAATACTACCACTCATGTGAATCGAAAACGAAAAGGAAAATTAAAAAGAAAAAGAAAAACATGTTTTTTTCCCTAAAACCCCAGAAAACAAAACTGATGGCAACCTTTGGTTGTTGGCATAGAATTACAAGACGAGAATGGTGTCTGAATCAAAGAGCAACAAGAGGATCCCAAAGAAACAAATCCCCAATGTCTTGGAAATTATCGCACTCTCTTTGCCAACTCCAACTCGTAAACCCAAAACCAAAACCCAAATCTAAATTCTCTTTCTCACTAACAAAGCATCCACTCAAATCAAAATCATCGCCCAAGAATATACCACTGCTCTCTGCAACGTTGTTATCACACTCGTCAAACATATCCAAAGTGCTTTCAAATCCGAATACAACGTCCTCAGGAATACCAAACACTGACTCGTCTTTCAACTTACTATCCTCTGAAAACCATGAATGTTCGCACTCGCTCGCCGGACCAACCGCGTCGTTTGCGGTTACCGATTCAGCTTCCTCGGACGCCCAACAGCACCGAAGAACCGAAGTGGGGGAACGCAGCTCCTCACTGGGAGACTCCTCGCCCGAGCAGTAACCGGTTTTTCTGTCCTCCGCCGGGGGCGTTATGAAATTGGTGAGCGCGTCGGCGCCACGCAGCTGAATGGCGGCGTTGTCGTACACAATGGCGGCTTCCTCGGCGGTGTCGTAAGTGCCCAGCCACAGCCTCACGCGGCGCGACGGGTCACTTATCTCAGCCGCCCATTTCCCCCACGGCCGCTGCCTCACTCCGCGGAACTTCCTCGCCCCAGTTCGCCGCCGGAGCGCCGGAGCGCCGCCAGACTTCACCTTTCTTTTCCTGGAAACAACTTTAACTCGGGCGCCGTGGATGGTAATCTCGTTGACGAAGCTTTTGACTCTGCGGCGCGTGGAGGGCACGGAGGGCTGCTCGTCGTCGCTGGAGGAGTCCGTGGCGTCGGCGTCGGTGACACGTATCCGCACGAGTTTGGGATGGTGATGGTTTTTCAAAAGGGTGTGTTCTTGGACGAGGAGTTTGGTGCGGTTAAGGTGTTGTGTTTGCTTGATGGCAGACGAAGCCATAACAGCATTGAGGGTGACGGTGGAGAGAGTCGGAGAAGTGAAAGGGAAAAGATAAAGAAAAAAAGAGAAAGAAGGAGAGAGTAAGAGATAGAGAGTGATACAGATTCCTTGGAGAATGGAGAGAGTGGACACGAGCGGAAGGGATGGGAGAATATAAATAAAGAGGGAAAGGAAAGAGAGAACACGTCAGAGAGAAGCTCAAAAGGGAGAGAAATCAGAAACGTAGCGTCAATATGGGTAAATAGTGTTTCTAAAGTTATTAAAGAACGAGAAGGTTCAACGAAAGTTACGTTTAAAAGGAGAGAATAACAGCGTGCATCACTGCTCGCACCAGCGTGGAATAAAAGAGATGTAAGAAGAAATGTTGTAAGCTTAGAACACAGCACCCACCACATGTACCCTCTGGGACGAAGAAAAAGTGTACATTTTTCCGCTAAAGATATTCAATTTTAACAGTATACATGACAGGAAAAGGGAATAATGTAGCTGCTGCAAAATAACAAGATGAACTAAAACGACTCTGGCAAACCATCGGTGGTGATACGAAAGGCACAGTTGGTGATACGAAAGGCACAGTATGAAAAGTTAAAAGATGTGAAATCGAAGGAATTGGTTTGAAGAAGAAAGGGGTGAGGAGAGGGAAGAAAATCTATGAAAAAGTACTGTTTCTTTTGTTACCTGAAACCTATTTTACAGTAGCTAGGTTCCAACAGACCTATGAGTTACACTTACACTGGGTTTAAATGCCATCTATTTTAATCAATGCGATTTACTTTAATGTTTTTTTGGCTTAACCTTTGGGGAGGTGATGCGTAGATACATAGGAAATGTGGCAGAACTAAGGCAAATGATAAAAGGACATGTGGGAAGACAGAAGGCACACCGATCACGTGAGGAGAGACACTTTGGATCAGGTCAGCCATTCTTTGACTGAAAAGAGGTCTTCTTAGTTCTTCTCTAACGGTTAATTCAATTTCATTTGAAGGTTCTGCATTATTCATTTTGGGACGTGGATTAGCAGAAGTAATTCAGAATTGTTTTGCCTTTATTTCAGCCATACTTTTTATGTTAAATTAAAGAGGTAAGTGGATAACAGATGCCGAAAAAAGCACGCTGAGGAAGTTCTGGGTCATCATCATTATTAATTCATTGGAAATATTTGTTTACTTATATGCATGGGAAAATGGAAAATTAGTTGCTTACTCGTATGCATGCCTTGAGCCACAAAACAAACAGAACCTTCTTGAGCATACATACATAACACTATACTATCATATTCATAAAGTCAAATCAAATCACCACTCTTATGGGTAACGTCCTTTTTTTCTCCGTTTCCCTTTATGTGCTCACGTATTCAATCTTCTACGACCGTCCACCTTTCTGCTTTACTCCGTGTCCTAACGTTCTTATTTCACCAAG